ATCTTGACAAGACAAAAACCCAGGGTCCCCCTGCAAGATGCCTCATTTATCCCTCTAATGCAGCCAGTTAGTCATCACCTACATATGCGGTGAGATATTTGTGGGACCTTTTTTAATGCTGCTTCAGAGGGTCCTTCCAAGGGCATGTACTTAATGCTCGACTCCCAAGGCCATCTATATGTCCAATTTTCTTTTCAATGAGCTCACTTCACAAGTCTTACTGTCCTTGGATCTGGCTCCCAACCCCTCTCCAGCCTTTCAACTGCTGCTAGAGGTGCTCACCTTTCACACCCTCTCCATTCACACCTCATTAATTTCAACAGGGCAATCCATGAAAAGGGAGAGATCTATTATACTCCTAGAAAAATAGGTGAGTTAGGTGGGGGAGGCCTGGAGCCGGGCTTCTGCCAATCCATATCGATGCTCCCATGTTGATAAGATGAAAACCCAGGGTCCCCCTGCAAGATGCCTCATATTTATCCCTCTCATGAGGCCAGTTAATCATCACCTACATATGCAGTGAGATATTTGTGGCGCTTTTTTTAATGCTGCTTCAAAAGGGTCCTTCCAAGGGCACGTACTTGCTGCTTGCCTCCCAAGGCCATTTATATGTCCAATCTTCTTTTCAATGACCTCACTTCACAAGTCTTACTGTCTTCAGATCTGGCTCCCTGCTCCTGTCCACCCTTGCAACTGCTGTTGAAGGTACTCACCCTTTCAAGCCTTCTCCATTCACACCTCATTATTTCAAAAGGGCAATCAATGAAAGGGGAGAGATCTATTCTATTCCTAGAAAAAGACATTTTTCTTTACCTTAACTATTCCTAAGGCCTATAACAAAGGGCTTGATACACAGTTTCTATGGAAAAGACTAAATACAAGGTTTCTCTTAATACAAGGGATTCTATAAGAAAGCTTAACACAAAGAGACAGACAGACAGATAAAAGGACTTACAAAGTTTTTTTTAATACAAGGTTATATGAGAATGATACGTGTTTATATGGAAATGTTAGAGATTTATCCATATAGCCAGGGCTTGCCAAGCAGCGGCAAGCCCTGCTTGCCAGCCACGTGGTTCTGCGCATGCGCAGATCACTCTGCGCCGGCTCTTCTGGGATGGAATCTGCTCGCCATGGGTGACTAGATTACATTGTTTGTCAAGCCCTGCATATAGCTAAAGTGGATTGAGTAAGACGCACATTCATTCCATATTTTGACACTGTTATGGAGTTACCTTAGCTTGGTTTAGCTTAATTCATTGAACTACAGGCAGTCCCTGACTTATGCGGATCCGACTTATGTCGGATCTGCACTTACGAACGGGGCTTTCTCGCCCCGGAGGTCGAGGTGGCGGATTGCTACCTACGAGCTATCCATGCTGGCTGTTCCTCATTACTCTGTTATCCTCTAGGCACTTGCAAAATGACTGTTCAATAAATTGTTCTGGTACCTTTCCATGTATTGAAGTTAGGATGACTGATCTGTAATTTCCCACATATTCTTTATTCTCTTTTTAAAAGTCAGGTCTTCTTCAGTCCTCTGGGGCCTCCAGGGTTCTCGAAGATAATTACTAATGGTTCCAAGTTTGCAAGTTTGCTTCAGTTAATATCTTATGTAACCAGGATGAATTTCATCAGGTACTACTAACTTGAATCTACCTAATTTATCACAATATTCTTTAATCTGTTATTTTCCTATTTTGTCTTGGGTTCTTCCCTCGTGTTGTGAATAATTGTATTAAATATCTGGTCACCATTAATCTTTTTAATGAAACCTGAAGCATAATAGGCATTAAACCTCCCAGACCTTCTTGATGTCATCAGATCTTCTTCCTCACTAAGCAGACTAACACTTTCTGATGTCTTCCTCATGCTCCTAACATTTTTAAAGATCTCTTCTTATTACTGCTTATACAGGCAGTCCCCGCAGTTACGAACGGGGCCCTTCCTCTCCCTGGTCTCCAGCAGACCACGGAGAGGAAGCAAAGCGGTGGAACACGCGGGCAGCGGACAGGGTTATCCGCTGCCCACGCGCTCCGCGGCTTGGCTCTGCTTGTATGTAAGTCAGAACTGGCGGTCAGTTTCAGCAGCGGCTGAATCTGGACGCCAGTTCCGACTTACATACAGATTCAACTTAAGAACAAACCTACAGTCCCTATCTTGTACGTAACCCGGGGACTGCCTGTAGTCATTTTAACACTAAACACTGTGGATACTCTTACTCAATGCAGTTTAACTAATCAACTGCACACCTTTAATTAATTTAAATTCACACCTTTAATTCATTTGGATTAATTTTTGCCATAAGTGTCCATATGTAGGTAAGCCCTATTTTGCCATTTTGGCCGCGAAAATAAGACAAGTAGCATGATATTTCACACATCCATCACTTTGGGGGAAAAATACACATGATAGTGAGTCTTAAGAGACAGAAATATACTAAGAAATTACTGATGTACTCTCTAGTTTGAGCCTACTTATTAGCAAATCTTAGTCGGTTTATTTTCAGTTGAAACTTATGCATATGGTTATCTTGCTCGGTTGGTTGGTTGATTGTTTTGTTTTTGTTTGAAGAAGCAATTGATAGTGTACTTCCATGAAGTACTATCACATGAAACTGCCGTTGGGTAGCTCATCTGGACCTAGAAAACTTGGTTTCATTAATTGTTGTGGAGCATACCATATGTATGGAAATGACAGTACATTATATCTAGTGCAGACATTTTGTATGGTAGTCAGATTTACTTAGGCTAGCGTGTTTTATCTGGTTTCCTGATCTTTTGTACTTTTTTTTTTAGAGATCTACTGTACTTGAAAACATACAGAAAGCAGTGTACCTTCATTACATCACACTGCTCTAGTACCTGAAATTGTTTGCTCTGAGAATGAAGAGAATCAGGCAGACTGTTAAAACTGAGAACCCGGTTCTCCAAACACCACAAAGGTCAAAAAAACTGAAGACTTGTTTCTATGGATCAGCATTTGACAAGTCTCACCTGCAAACATTGATGGACTGGGGAACCCTGCCCCTCCATGTAGTTTTACATATTTTTCAGTTCCTGCCTTTAGTTGATCGAGCACGGGCATCTTCTGTTTGCCGAAGATGGAATGAAGTTTTTCATATCCCTGACCTGTGGAGGAAGTTTGAATTTGAGCTTAACCAACCAGCTACTTCTTATTTAAAGTCTACTCACCCTGATCTCATTCAGCAAATTATCAAGAAACATGCTGATCATCTGCAGTATGTCAGCTTCAAGGTAAAGATAGTGGAGGCTTGTTTTGTCTTTTTACTTGACAATTGGGTTTGCATGTCTGTTAATTTTATTACATCTCTCTGTTCAAAAACTTTTTCTAAGAATAAATTGGTATGAATATTTCATTGAATGCATGGATGGTTGCTGCATCAAGCATCTTTGAATACCATATTTTTTCCCAGAAGGAAGCAGTTTCTAAAATTATGTACTTACTATACATGAATAGGATCTATGTCACGTGATTTTCATAGCCTGTTGTAGTTCATTTAGTGTTTTATTTCCAAAGAAACATTAATTTTGTACAGCACTGTTAAAATTGTGACATTAAATACATTAATTTTGTACAGCACTGTTAAAATTGTGACCTTAAATAGAAGTTCAGTGGTCACCAACCAGTAGATTCTGAAGCCTCTGAGAGGTGATCCTGACTGGTTTGGCCAAGAGGCCATCAAGTGTCAGCATTTCAGCTGTCCCTCCCCCCACTGCTGCACAGCTCCTGCCCTCTGCCTTGGAGCTGTCCCCTCACTAATCTCCTGCTTGCTGGGCAGGGGAGGGAGAACAGGGTGCCGATGTTGGAGTGCCCCCCCTTCCCCCCTCCCTGCTTGCTGGGCAGGGGAGGGAGAAGAGGGTGCCGATGTTGGAGTGCCCCCCCCTTCCCCCCCTTCCCTACTCTGTATCCTATCTCCACAGAGCAGAAAGGGGATATAACAGGGCTTGGGATGGAGGGAGTTTGCTGGCTGCTTTTTGGGAATGGTGCAGGGCTGCCTTAGCCCTACTGTACCACCACCTAGGAGCCACCTGAGGTCCGTGAGGCCCAGCCGGAGTGAATGAAACCCTACCCTAGTTATGAACATCACCCCTAGGCCCTTGCCCTAGTACCCCTGTTTCCCAACACCCTCTCCGAGCCTGCTCCTAGATTCCCTCCTGCACCCCAACTGCCTGCTCCAAGGTCAACTTAGAGCCTCTCTCATACTCCAGATCCCTTAATCCAAGACCAGAGTCTGCACCCCAACCATCAGCCCCAGCCTGGTGAAAGTGAGCGGGGAGGGAGGGAGGATGGAATGAGCAAGGATGGGGCCTCGGAGAAGGAGCACAAAGATGGGGGATACGGGTATTTGGGTTTGAGGTAAATCTTCAATTGCACTTAAATTCAAAAAGTGATCTCATGCTTAAAAAGGTTGAAGACCACTGTAGTAGTTTACCATATTGTATTGAAAAATTATAAAACCAGTATTGTCAGTGGAAGTATACTTTAAGACGGGGCTATTCAACTTTGGAAGCCCTGGCAACCACAGTGATATTCACAGGACATGCCAAGGGCTGAAACTTAAGCATGGTTGCATGAAAATATATGCAAATACACGAAACTGGCTCTCTTCACACTGACAGGCATGAATACAAAGATTAAGGCAAGATTACACAATATGCAGGCCCCATTTAAGTCTGTTCTGCTGATATTAATAAAATGCAATATATAGTGTACCAGATTTCTACTCCGATGACAGCCCAGGAATGTAACTACTAAAAACGTACATCAACAGAAGACTATTGTATTGGCTATTTTTTTTAATTGTTTTGTTTTAGCTCTCACCCGCGGGCTGCAAAGAAATGAGTTGCATGTTGAGTAGCCCTGCTGTAAGATTAGGATGAACATTGTTTACTGAGGTTTTTGTTATAGTGGCAATAAGTGCTGTCTAGATTAATCCTCAACTTTTATTTTGGTGATTTTTTTGTTAAGGTGATTGAGAAATATTAATATCTAAAACAGCACAATAATGTTTATACACATGGTAAAAGTTCATGGTCAGAATGCTGCTTTAATATAGTCTGCCCTTGATTCGGGTGTTAGACCATTCAGATGATGATCTTAATGTAGCTTGTCTTGGACACGTACCATGAAGAGTAGAGAATTTTTTCTGTTGGAAGACTGGTTTTAATTTGGGACTACAGTGTTGTAATCTGGTCCATTTAAATGGGTGGGTTTATAGTAAAAAATAGCACTTTAGTTTATTAACAGCACACAGGGAATGACTTTAACTCTCCCTATGGTGTTCACAAACTAAGGAACTCTGAAGGCAAATAAAGGAAATTAACAGCAGTTGCTAATAATGTCCTTCCTTTCTTGCCTTCAGAGTTCTTGTGATGCAGTTCTGTTAGCAGTCCACGGTTAACTTTTTAATTCGTTTAAGTACAAGTAGCTACTTCACTTAATAAAACTGATTTGCTCCTTAATATATTATCTGATTAGTGATCCAGATGACAATATGGAGGTCATATTTTATAGCTCTTGACAAAGGAAGGTATCACCCCCATTTTACAGATGTGGAAACTGAGATAAAGATGTAAAGAGGCTTGGGGAATCAGGTTCACTAGGTTGCACTGTGTGTACTCTGGATCATTTTTCTGGGTAACTTCTATTTATTTATCTTGTTTTTAGACCAAAATAGACTCTAAAAGTCTGACTGTATTTTCATACTTATCAAGTAGCATCAGATATAGAATTATGGTATACTAGGGGACTCTGCTCTCTGCTTGCTATGCTCGCCAATCCCCCTCTCCCTGGGGTAGTCAGCTCTGGCTCTCTCCCCCCTACTGCTGCTGAAGAGGTCCAGTCTGAGGCCATGCTAGCCCTGGTGCTCTCTCCCATGGAGTACTTGGAGGGGAGGGCATGCTGCTGAGGGTGGAGGTAGGCAGCGGGATACACTGACATGATGACAGTGTGCTGCAGGAAATTGTTTTTATAGTGAGAGACATTAACTTGAAATTCAATACTAGACATGTGCAAATTGGGATGTTGAAAAGAAATGCAGAGATAAGACAAATCAAAGATGAGTGGATCACCGTAAGATGTTTAGTGTTATCAGGACTATCAGAACAGGATTATCAGAACAGGATAATTACACAGTGTAATAAGTATTGTAGGCAAGTACTTTTCATGAGAGTTTACTGCCTTCAAATTATTAACCACTTACAAGTAAGTTTCACGTTCTTTTCTTTATACCAACTTTTATTTGCTAAAGTGCTATCTTCTGCTTAAAAAACTGATGCTACTCTGTTTTGGCTATTAAAATATATATTTTATCAAGGTGTTGACTTTCTAAGAAGCAATACAAAGTGTTTTTTGGGTTTTAATTTTTTTTAAGGTTGATAGCAGTACTGAGTCTGCAGAAGCTGCCTGTGATATCCTTTCTCAATTGGTGAATTGTTCTATCAAGACATTAGGTTTGATTTCAACAGCGAAACCAAGCTTTATGAATGTCTCTAAGGTAATGTCTTATGGATTCTCAAATTTTACCTTGCTAGACAGTATAACAAATCATGATGCTTAGGTGTTAAATAAGCTATGTAGATCTTGAATTTAAAAAAGTAATTTTTATAAACCCAACCCTTTAAAGTACACAAATGCACAAGAGTTCTATTTCTTGCTAAACATTTATTTTCATAATTGTATTTTAAAGAATGACATGCATTTGACATCACCCTATTCTTAGAACTTTTTGCTCATCTGAGTTTTACAGAAGTCAGTCTATTATGTGTATATCCACAACTCTGATCATGTGACAACTTGATTATGATCTCAGTTGGGAAGGTAGGCATTTGCTTATGTCTAATACATTTCAGTGAGTGCTAAGGCATAGTGCTTAATAGGGATGTGTATGTGCATCCTGGCACACAGTTAAGTGATAAGCCCAGGCTCATCACAGTGGGCACCAACCAGTCAATTGCAATCAGCCCTGACAGTTAATCTCTATGCAGTCACCAATGCTCCCCTGCAATGAGGCTCCCGTGTTGGCACTACAACCTCCCACCCCTCACAAAATTGGAGCCAGTGCTGGCTTCTTGAGTGGGAAGTCCCAAAGCTCTTGATCCAGCTTGTTAGGAAGTGTGCACTGTTCCTCCACTCCCCACAGTAGCTGGCATGATTCCTTATCCACCCTACCTTCCCCCATGCTCTGGGGAGGAGGATATAACATGATGGCAAAGGATCTGGACTTTGAGCATCTGACTTTCTTAAAGGAGCGGCACATGTGCTTCTTCCATCACTGCCTGTAGATCCTGCCCCAGAGATACTCGTTCCTGGAGACCCCCAGGTACCTGCCTAGCTACTCCTGCCCCCTCTCCCCTGCCCAGGCACCCACCAGCACCCTGCTCTTGCCCCCTTCCTCCTGGCCAGACACCAACCTCCAGTTTGTTCCTGTAGCGTACCTCCTACCCAGGTTCTGCACCCCCATTCCTATCCTGTACACTTAACCCCTCATTTTTGGCCCCACCCCAGAGCTAGGGGGGTCTGCAAAACCCTGGAACCCCTGAAGAGTTGATCTGGCCTGAGACCTTGAACCTAAGTCCTACCTACACTGCCCACCCCACATCAGCCTGGAGTGCCAGGGGAGTGAGGTGTCTCAGTAGGGGCTGTATCAGTGAGGGTTGGGTATTTGTTGCATCTCTCGTGTGGTCCCTGATTGATTTTTTTTTTTTCCTGTGGGTCAGTGGCCCCTGACCCAAAAAAGGTTCCCCTCTCACACAAATAAAGACAATGTTGAAACCTTCTGTGTTTGCACATATTTTATTTAAAAATGAAGCCTGGCCAGCAAGCCCCCCAGTTGAAGCCAAGCACTCATCTGGCTGCAGCATCATAACACTCCTGCACCCCAACCCTGAGCCCATCACACACTTTAACCTCCTGCCCTGTCACATCCCCAAAGTCCTGCACCTCCCACATCCCCAATCTTGTCACAACACTCCTGTACCACCCACACACTGCAAACCTGTGCCCAAACTCCTGTCCCCCCCACATACCTGCAGCTTGCTCAGCACTCCAACCTTCCACCTGACCCCAACACTCTCTCCAGCCTGGAGCTCCCTCCCTGAGCCAGTATCTCCTCCTCCACCCTTCTGCACTCAAATTTTACCTCTTATCCCTTCCCACACCCAAATCCCTCATTCCCACCCCAGAGCCCGCACCTTCTGTCTCAGCTCAGTGAGAGTGAGTAAGGGCTGGGGACAGCAAGTGATGGAGAGGGTAGGACCCCAACGAAGGGATGGGGTAGACCTTGGCTTGCCCTGACACTTAAAACGTGATCTTGGGTGTGTAAAGGTTGGAGTTCACTGGCTCATCAGTTAATGTGCTGGGTTACACACAGCCCAGACCATCTTCTCCCTCCTCCTCTGCACACTGCTGCCTCTATAGCATGAGGGGCAGGGGGGGCCAGTATGTGCATGTAGCCTGCAAGGGCTCAGTTTCCACTCAATCAAATATTAATTCAGAGAATTTTCTGTTCTGGTCTTGCTGGAAAACAGAATATTTTTTAATTTAATTTTTTTTTTATTTACTGGCAATCTCTTGCTGGAAAACAGAATATTTTTTAATTTGTTTTTTTTACTTACTGGCAATTTGTAGCTAGCTCAAGCTCTTCATCGTGTACACTTTTATCATTGAAAAGAGGGGAAATGAGGAGGAGGGCAGAAATGCTTGTGTTAACTGTGTAAGCATTAAAATAACCCCTATGTTAAGAACAAGTATTTTATTATATAATTTCAGGAATTAAATAATTTTTTTAAAATATGCTAATTTCCCTTTTCAGCACATTTAACAAACTAATGATTCTGCTACGAGACAAAAGTTCACTCAATTATGCTATGAATATAATAACATTTAATGTCCACTGAAGGATAACTTACACTCTCTTCTCTCTCCTTCCTCAATTTCTTTGAACAGGCTCATTTTGCATCAGCATTGACAGTAGTGTTTGTAAACTCCAAGTCACTATCATCCATCAGAATTGATGACACACCAGTTGATGATCCATCTTTAAAGGTTCTTGTTGCTAACAATAGTGATACTCTAAAACTATTAAAAATGAGTAGCTGTCCTCATGTGTCACCTGCTGGTGAGTAGTAAGTCGATTTAAAAAGGAGGGGGAATAGTAATGCAATAGTTACTGTTGAGGATGTATTTCTGTTAACCTGTTTTCATGTACTTTACATTTGGAATAAGTTATTCTTTCACTTAAAATATTTCATGCAAATTGTCAGCTCAAAGGTGGTACTACAACCTTCCACTTGACTATTTTCAGTTGTCTAGAGGGTGGAAAAATATCATCTTAATATCAAGGATTTTTTTAGAGCAAAGTGAAAGGAAAGCATCAGACTAGTACTGATATTCCTTTCATGTGACTTAAAATTTTTCTGATTTTATTCCTGTTTTGGGGATTCTTAAAAAAGCATTAGAATGCTTTTTTTATTTCTGTAAAGATGTAAATAAAATTTTAGATTTAAAGACTCTTGTGCAAGTAGTCCAATATGAGTGCAAGTACTTAATTACATATACTGTAGTAATGTCTCTTTCTGTAGCATAAATATAACGGACAGAGCTTTGTGATGTAATTTTACTTGAAATAATGAAGTTGTTTAAAATTCATGAACTGCTCATAGCTTGCACAGTTATTTTCTAAACTTTAAATTGTTTTTAATAAGGTAAGATGAACAGAAATACATGCTGTATAGTGTTTATTTAACAATTAAGACCCATAAAGCTGTACTTTTTCAACTCAAGTAATGTAGTACAAAAGAAACTAATACAAATGTGTTGTGGGAAATTAAATAATTTTCAATTTCCTGAATTGTGAGGTACTATTGTAAATGTTGTTATATATTTATGTCTGGTCATCACAACTTTAACAGTGATAAACTTTGTGTGTTCTGAGTCTTAAAAAATCTTAATGATTTAAAGAAGTTTGTGAAGATTTTTTTTCTACACAAATATGAAATGAGTCCAATTGTGTACTGAGGCTTTAGATGTCAGTTTAGTTGCAGTTTTCACAACTAAAATAAAGATGTATTCTTAAATTTTACTAGTTAAAGCTTCTGCAGACCAAATTTCCCTTCGGTAACAGATGCACAACTTCTCTTCAGCTCATGCCTTGTTAGTGCTAGTCTATATTCATTGCACTCAGTGGCTTTTTACAAGTGTAACTGAATGAACAGTTGGTAAGCTGTTCTCTTGATATAACAAATAGACCAGTGTTTCTCAAAGTGGTCTCTGAGAGAGCTGCTACCAAACTGCTGCTGTTTGTTTACTTACTGGCTCCGCAGACACAGAGCCTTGCTGCTCCAATTAGTTACGGTTCGCCGTTTGCAGTCAAGAGGAGCCACGAGGCTCTGTGTCTGAGTAGCCAGTAAGTAAACCACAACAGTCCGGTATCTGCTCTCTGAGTGGGTCCATGGGCCACTTTGAGAAAACACTTGAAATACACTATAGTTCAGTTCACTTTCTTACAGGTGTCTGGTATCCTAGGACTAAGAGGAGTAAAAAACACTGTGTGGAATAATCAGTAAAGTAAGCAAATATGAATGCACAAAAGTAGCAGAGCCATTGAATAGGAAAATTCCATATTTAGCCAATTTTCACTTCTCTTTAATCTCTTTATATTTTATACAAACTTTTTTAAATGACTATCAACTTTACAATAGTTCATGTTATTTTCACTTCTCTTTAATCTCTTTATTTAAAAAAGTTTGTATAAAATATGAGAGCTTTTAGGGATGCCATCAAACATGAACTATTGTAAAGTTGATAGCTTTGGACCTTTTCACAACCTACAGAAATCATAGAATCCTAGGGCTGGAAAGAGACCTCTGTAGGTCGTTGAGTCCAGCCCCCTTCCCAGAGCAGGACCAGCGCTAACTAAATCATCGCAGCCAGGATTTTTGTCAAGCCGGGACTTAAAAACCTCTAGGGATAGAGATTCAACCATCTCAGGTAATACGTTCCAATGCCTCCCCATCCTCTCGTGAATAGTTTTTCCTAATATCCAACCTAGACCTCTCCCACTGCAACTTGAGACCATTGCTCCTCGCTGTGCTATCCATCACTACTGAGAACAGCCTTTCTCCATCCTCTTTGGAACCTTCCTTCAGGAAGTTGAAGGCTGCTATCGGATATACCCTCTCCTTCTCTTCTGCAGACTAAGCTTAAATCCCTCAGTCTCTCCTTGTAGGTCATGTGCTCCAGCCCCCTAATCATTTTGGTTGCCCTCTGCTGGACCCCCTCTAATGCGTGCACATCCTTTCTATCGTGGGGTACCCAGAACTGGATGCAGTACTCCATATGTGGCCTCATCAATGCCGAATAAAGGGGAATAATAACTTCTCTAAATCTGCTGGAAATACTCTCTTAATGCACCCCATTATGCCATTAGCCTTCCTGGCTACAAGGGCACACTGTTGACTCATATTCAGCTTCTCATCCACTGTAATCCCCAGGTCCTTTTCTGCTGAACTGCTTCTTGGCCTGTCAGTCCCCAGCCTGTAACAATGCTTTGGATTCTTCCATCCCAAGTGCAGGACTGTGCACTTATCCTTGTTGATCCATATCAGATTTCTTTTGGCCCAATTCTCCTTTTTGTCTGTCACTCTGAACCCTATCCCTACCCTCCAATGGGTATCTACTTCTCCTCCTAGCTTAGTGTCATCCGCAAACTTGCTGAGGATGAAATCCCCTAGAACCGATCATTGGGGTGCTCTGTTTGAAATGGACCACCAGCCACACACAAGCTGCTGATCACTTTCCATTGAGTCTGACAATCTGGCCTGCTTTCCAGCTACCTTACAGTCCATTTATCCAATCCATACTTCCTTAACTAGCTGGCAAGAATATTGTGGGAGACAGTCTCAAAAGTATCGAGGTATATTACATCCACCGACTTCGCCATGTTCACAGAGCCTGTTACCTCCTCATAGAAGCTAATCAGGTTGGTCATGCCTGACTTGCCCTTGGTGAATCCATTTTGATTATTCCTGGTCACTTTTCCCTCTTCCAGGTGCTTCAAAATGGATTTTTTGAAGATCCCCTCTATGATTTTTCCAGGGACTGAGGTGAGGCTGACCGTTCTGTCGTTCCCTGGATTGTCCTTCTTCCCTTTTTTAAGGATGGACATACATATGCCTTTTTCCAATCAATTGGGACCTCTCCCAATCTCCGAGTTTTCAAAGATAATGGCCAAAGGCTGCAATGACATCTGCCAAGTCCTTCAGTATCCTCGGATACATGAAATCCAGACTAATGGATTTTTGTGTGTGTAGCTTTTCTAAAATCTATTAATATTACTACAACTTTTCTGGAAATATTAGATGTTCTGGATTATGGGTTTTCTTAAGAATAATACACAGCTTAGTGGCTTGAGAAACTTTTAATGAAAACACAATATATATTTGTATATTTAACTTTGTAAAAGAAATGTACATTATTTATGTATTTCAAATTTTTTGTCTTAGGAATTCTTTGTGTTGCTGATCAGTGTCATGGTCTTAGGGAACTGGCTTTGAATTATTACATACTAAGTGATGAACTGCTGCTGGCTCTTTCAAGTGAGAAACATGTGAACCTTGAACATCTTCGCATAGATGTTGTGAGTGAAAACCCTGGACAAACTGAATTTCATACTATTAAAAAGCAAAGTTGGGATGCACTTGTTAAGCACTCCCCCAAAGTCAATATTGTGATGTACTTCTTTTTATATGAAGAGGAATTTGATGCATTTTTCAGAGAAGAAACTCCTGTCACGCACCTTTACTTTGGTCGGGCAGTAAGCAAAGCCATGCTAGGTCGTATTGGAATGAACTGCCCCAGGTTGATTGAATTGGTGGTGTGCGCTAATGGTCTTCAGCCACTGGATGATGAACTCATTTGCATTGCTGAACGCTGTAAGAACCTAACAGCAATGGGCCTTGGTGAGTGTGAGGTTACCTGCAGAGGTTTTATTGAGTTTGTAAAAATGTGTGGAGGAAGGCTAACTGAGCTTTCTATTATGGAGGAAGTGCTAATTCCAGATAATGATTACAACCTGGATCAAATTCATTCAGAAGTCTCTAAACACCTTGGAAGATTGTGGTTCCCTGATATGATGCCTACATGGTAAACTGGTTAGATCAAGGTTTTTGCTTACTGTTCAAATAAGCAATTACAAAAAGTATCTCAACTACTTAAATGAACTGCATATAGACAAAATGCTTCAGTAACAGTGCTAGAATTAAAATGGAAAATAGAATCTAGTATACTTAACAGTAGACACATTGAAAAGATGTCTGTGGGATAGAGGGTTTTTCTTTCTCCAGCTAAATTAAGCCTGTTGGCTTCTGCTGAATTAAATTTGTTCCATTAAATACTTTTAGTACAAAGTTTTGCAGTTGTTCTAGACTTTCTGATGTGTTGTAAAGGAAGTCTAAAACTTGCCTGCTTGATAGGGAGTTAAATGGAACTTTTGAGTAAACTGTATTTGCAGTGTCTCTTTATCCAATTCACTAACTTTTTTTACACATAGAACAAATACTTTATATCATAGCTATTCTATTTCAGATTGCTGTTAATCTATTTTAATGTGCTTGTATGTGTTTAAATATTGCAAATTAAGGACTTATGCTGCAATAAAAAGCTTTTGATTTTAACTTGCACTCTGTACTCAATTTTCACTCTTAGTAAGTGAACGATAGTGTGTATAGTTCATTGTTTCTCTTCCTATGTACTGACTTACTTATCAGGGGGAGGGGGGAGAGGAGAAACCTTGTTAAAACTAATGTACCTAATAGTTCATGATGATTCAGTTCTTGGCCAAGCAGTGAAGCACTGTGGTAACTGTATATAGGAAATAGTAGCTCTGTCGTTTGGGAGACAGTATGCTATTGTGTTTAAGACCAGTTTCGTTGTGTTAAATGCTAAACTGCTGGGATTCTGGCCCATGCTCCCTTTATGAAGGATCTATTAAGATATGCCAGTATGGTGCTGGTTGTTTTCCTCTGACATGTATAGGGATTTCTCCGTGATACCAGCACAGAAATATGTAGTGGGGGGAGTATATAATTGGAATGCATCTCCTGCATCCAGTTATTTCCCCACGTGACAAAAAAAATTAAACTATCACAAGCCAAGGCCTCATTTAAGCTTTGGTAATTTGTGGGGCTGATCATTAAATAAGCAAGGATGGCCTGCCTGTGTAAGGACTGTAGGATTGAGGTGTTGCATGCCAGCTCTAAATAATACCTGTGATGAAGGCAATATTTCTTTTATTAGAAATGGGGCAAAAAGCTGTTGGTCCAAAGAAGAGTACATGTGTTTTTATTGATCAGCTTTTGTACACGTAAATTGTAGTGCACAGTGCCATCGTTTTGTGTCATTGCTTGTAGCAACAAATTGGAGATGTGTGCATTTTGTTGATCTGTGTTGGGTTTGTCACATTGAAATGAAAGCCAAGTAGAGTCACTTCCTTAGTTAATCTGACATCTCTATTGTACAATACAAAAGCTTTTCATTAGGTGTTTACTAGCTCCTCCATTCCTTTAACCAGAAGCGTGTGACTCTTAAACCAAACATAAAATGAGAGATGATTAGATCAAACATATTGACTGTCTTTGAATTGATCAGTAGTGATTTTTTTTGCAAACTATACACGCAATTTTAGAAGACACTGTGTAATAGCACTTGTTAGCCAAGCAAGTTCATAAGTGGTACAGTAAACTTCCAATAATCCGGCACCTTTAGGACCCAGGGGGTGCCAGATTTTCAGATATGTCAAACTATCGAAGCGGGGGCTATGACGGGTCGGGGGTGAAGTGGGGGGATGCGCCCCACGGTGCTGCAGGACCAACTTGGCAGCAGCCCCAGCTGCTCTGCCCCAGACTTCCCCAAGTCAGCAGCTGCTGAAACTGACCAGCAGCTGACTTCGGGAAGCTGGGGACAGAGCAGCTCCAATTGTCTGGCTGCCTGGAGCACTTCCGGGTTCCAGATGATACTGGTCCATCAAGAGTGCTGGACCATTGGATGCCGGACCACTGGAGTTTTACTGTAATTTTATCTAAATTAGTTCCAAATATTATTGATAGGGATTTTTGAAATTTGTTTCAGCTGTAAATTTTAATAAACTGACCTAAACTGCCCACTGATGTAAAAATTTCTATATTTGTTTTAATGCAAGTAGTTTAAAGGGCAACATTTTAGAATAAGTGTAAGGTAAAGGCAAACACACATAGGAGTATAAATGGAAGGGACTCTTTAAAAAAAAATTGAGGGAGATTAATTGTAGGAGAAGACTGTTACTTTACTAACTCTAAAGAAACTGTTAGCTGAAATGTCAACCTGAGTACAGACTTATAAACAGGTTGTTACTTTTAAGGATTTTCCTCCTCTGTTCATTGTTGTTTGGGGACTAGAAAGAACTGACTTTGTCACAGTGGGGTTTTTAGTCATGTTTTGCTTCCTCCTTCACTTCTAGTACAGCAGCTGGGTTTGCCTCAAATTGTGATACTGAAAATATTTTAAAATGGAGGTTACTCAAACTTGAACCTTTTGATATTTTATGCAGCACAGAAGCACTTATGATTGCACGAATTTTTACTGAAAAGGACTGAGTTACTTACATATTTTTAAGTATTTTCATAACTCACCTGCTTTGGCCCCTCCTCTCCAAAAGTACCTGAAATAGCTCAAGACTTTGCTTTTCCCTAAAACTAAATATTAAACATTGTTTCAACTTTAGGCTGCTCTAAAGGGTTTGTAATTATTACTGTTTTGAATTCTGATTTCAAGGATATGTAACATGACAATGCTCACTGGCCTCAGTCTACTTGGTTAGTCACAACATTTTAAAATAAACATTAATATTAACAAAACTGATTAAGCAGTCTTTAAATTTGCCTCCCCAAAAGAGCTGTTTTATATACCTACATCTTTTTTTAAGAAGGCATTTTTATCTTTGGAATTTCCCAGCAATCCATGAAATAGTCCTGTGACTTTAAAAAAAACCAAACTCTGCCAATACTTGCTTATATCCTAAAGAAACAGGCCTACTTCGTGGATATGGGAACAGTATGATGGACCGAAGTTCTATCCCTGGTGTTCTTGCTGTTACCTTAAGCTAATCACTTCCCATGAACTTCAAGAGGTATAGCTACGGGGGAGTCCTTGCTATAAGTCCAAGATACATTCCAAAAAACTTGGACTTATAGCGAAACAACTTAAAGTGGGGGATTTTTTTCCTGCAGTTGACTTCCATTTAAGCAAATTGGGGAGGAGTGTTTTGCATGACTTACAGGGTGGACTGGGAGGACTTATAACACATCAGTTCCTACAAATGTCAATGACTTTAATGTGGAATGAATGTATTCCAGGGCGACTTAGAGCAGGGACCCCCTGTAGCCAGAAAAAAGCCCATGTCAGCCACCTTGGGCTTCTGGGGCTCAGGTTACAGGACTGTTTCATGGCTGTGGAGAGTTCTAGTCTGGGTTCTGAGACCCTTCCACCTTTACAACATCCTGGGCCTGAGCCCAGAAGCCTCCACAGCAGGGAAACAGTACTATGCACCCAGGCTGGCATGGGCCAACTGGGGTTTTTTCTTTGCTGTGTAGACATACACTAGGATATTATTTCTCTATTTGTCAAATGAGCACGGCTCGACAAATAATACAATCTACTTGCCCGGGATGAGTAGATTGTAACCCAGAAGAGCCGGGTTCGGGCGATCTGTGCATGCGCAGAACAATCTGTGCATGCGCAGATCGCCGGACAGCGCGTCTGGCGAGCGGGGTTCGCCGCAGGTTCTGCGAGCCCTGCAAATGAGGATAGTGAAACTGCAAAGAAGGCACCAGTGCTTTTAGATTTGTGTATAACAGTATCAAAGGAAGTGTTAGGAGACTTCTTCTCAAATGTTAAATGAATTCTATCACTCGAATTAGAAACAAAACCAGAGGTAACACTTTTGTTTAAAAGTTCATATTGAAGTAGTTTATGCATGGAGTAAAGAGAATACTTCCTGTTTTATGTATTAGACTAAGATGAAATACAACCTTTTTGATATCAAAGTTTGTAACTGGGCAAGTGGATGTGAGTCTGATACAATGATGTCTTGGTCAAATACCTATTGGTATGCTAAACTGATGGGTGCAATATGTCTACTGTGCAGATTGTGATGCTGGTAGAGCAGGTGCCAGCTGATGCCAATGTCCCCATGTCTAAATTGAACACTGACAAATACATAGCTGGAATCAATCTGGCTTCCTGTTTGTTAGTATTGCTAACACAGGTATTTGAATTTTAAGAATGGATTTAGTGATAAGACTTTATTGAATGCATGCATATATTAATCTCAATTTTTATATTCTATATCAGTGGTCTCCAACCTTTTTATGTGTGAGACTGCTTTTTTAATTTAAGTGCAATCCAAGATCTACTTGAAACCTAAATAGCCTTGCCCTGCCTTCTTTGTGCCCCTTCTCTGAAGCCCCGCCACTGCTCACTCCATCCCCCATCCTCCCTCACTTTCACCAGACTGGGGCAGAGGGTTGGGGTGCAGGCTCTGGCCTTGGATTAAAGGATCAGGAGTGTGAGAAGGGCTCTGAGCTGAGCTTGGGGCAGATAGTTGGGAGTACAGGAGGGGGTTCATGACTGGAGTAGGTTTTTTGGGATGTGGGCTCCTGCTGGACCCTGCTTACCTCATGTGGCTCCTGGGTAGTGGTGAAGTGGGGCTAAGGCAGGCTCATCCCTGCCCTGGCCCTGCACCACTCCCAAAAGCAGCCTGCAAACTCCATCCCCAGTCCTGCTGTCCCCTCTCTGCTCTGTGGAGATAGGATACAAAGTGGGAGAGGAGGCACCTTGACATCAGCACCCCTCTTCTTCCTCTCCTGACCTGCACAGAAAGCAGGAGGCTCCCGAGGTGACAGCTCCAAGGAAGATGTGCAGCAGTGGGGGGAAGGGCAGTTGAAGTGCCAGCACTTGATAAGTCTCTTGGCCAAACCAGTTAGGATCACCTGTCAGAAGCACCAAGATCTACCAGTAGATCCCAATCTACTGGTTGGTCATCACTGTCCTATATTATAAAGTAATATGCGAGAGGTGGTATTGTGAGCTTCTTAGAGTTTATAAATCAACAAACAGGTGAGGGGCATTAGAATGGAGTACTGATATGCAGCTTTCCTGTTGGTCCTGCCCAACAGGAAAGATCCATTGGCACCAGATATTTTGGGGCATTTAAATAGGACAAATGATGTATGTACTAACCCTTCCCCATGAAGATGAGTCATGAAATGGGTTCCTTTTGTCAGAGTAGTTTTTAGCTCTGGGTACATGGAAAGAGAGGAATAAATACCCTAATGTGAAGGGTATTCCCTATGCTCGGACTTGGGGAGAGGGAAGAAGATTTTCTAGAGGCTTCTATTGCCTTTTGAAACTTAAATTGTAACTCATTTGTGAACTTATGTTTACCTGTTTTAACCTTGAAAATAATGCTCTAATTTCCTTTTCCTATCTCATAAATCTTTACTAGAGGATTGGCTATAAGCATTGTCTTTGAGATCTAAGGTCCAGTTGACCTGGGGTAAGTCACTAGTCCTTTGGAGCTAAGAATAACCTGAATATCTACATGTTTTGTTAGTCTATAAAGTGCTACCAGACCATTTGCTTTCTGCCTTTTTTCTGAATATTATTGTGATTTTTTTGCTATTAGTGACCATGTGTCACATAAATATGTTCCCCTGTGTAGTGAGAGATTGGCATACCCAAGCAAACTGTCTGTGACTCCATGGTTAGATTATTACAATGCCTGGAGTGTTTCCACATAAGTGTTGGGTGAAATAAAGTATAGAACTCTCAACCAGTTCAGGATTTCTGCTCTCTTTTTTTTTTTTTTTTTAAGTCTGCCTGAGGTTGCTACATTCCTGAGTCATTGGGATCATGTTATACATATTAGGTACACTTATACTAGTGCACACAGCAGAACACATTTTTTCCTTCCCATGGGCTATGTTTTTAGATAAGTTCCTGTGAGGAAATGTGGGGGTGGGAAAAAAACTCACTCTTGGTTGCTCAGATATTTTTATTTGGGATTTGGAACATTTCCATTTATAAGTTGCCAGTAGGATTTGAATGATCACAGTTCTGGATGTGAACATGAGATGATATACCAGGATACACTCTCTGCATTGGCAGCATTACTCCAATTTTAGATCCCTTACTGATCCAGCCTCTGCTTCTCAAAGGACTGATAAAGGCCAATTTTATGCAAGAACCTTTAGGGAAGGATAAAGGAGAGAGATTAAGGAAGAATAATAGAGATACCAACATTCTTCTATATGCAGCCAACAGCATCTGATGCCTACTCTGGCAGTTTTCAAGAAAAAGCACTAGCACTGATGCAGTCCAGAAAACAGCATAATTTGTGGAGAGTCAGGGAAAAGGAATATACTCGTGTCCTGTGGGTGGAGAAGTTGGACTGTTTTAAGAGTTAATGAGTTGTATATAGATTTGAATAGAGGAACGGATAGCTCTGTGTGAAACGTGGGCATTGGTCTATTTCATACAGTTATGCATTGATTAATTTTTAACTTTTTTGTATAGATTGTTCTTCTTCCATAGGTATACAATTGTCTAGGAAGGTAACATTATTTAATGACCAATATTTAAAGTTTATCGAATACTTTTATCTGAGGTAGCCTAGTTACCTGTTCTTGTTTCACGGAGTAAGATTCCATCATCAATGGCATTATTATTTCCAAAGGGTTTAATCCGTCTCACAATCAGACCACTAAAAGGAGCATACACTGTTGATCCATCCTTGCATACGACATCCACTCCTAGGTTCTTTCTGCCATTTCTGAAAATATGGACGTATGTAAATAATGATGTTACTTATTGACCTGTTCTTCAGCCATAAAGCTTTTTACCATGTAGATTTTTTTTAAAGCAAAATGGATTCTTAGCTTATTTGCATTTAACATTTTTATTTCTTGAATGGAAATAGAAGTGTGAGATTTCAGTCCAGTTTTGATTTCTGGAACTCTTTAACTGCTCAGCAGAGATGGTCAAAATGGATTTTATTGCGACTTTAAAAAAAATTCAGTTAATTTTTGTGTGGGGAACTTTCCCATCTTTCTAAACAAACAACCAAACTCTCAAATTAAAATATTTTCCTTGGTTGAAAATGGGAGGAAAAATCACGTGTTAGAGATTTTTGTTTGTTTCTCAATGAAATTCCAGAAATATGTAAACTTTCTCTTATTCATGTTAAGGGATGGAGTAAAGACACCTTTCATAAAATATTTTTGTTTGTTTTATTCGAAAGTTGATCTCTCTGCTGTAGTACCTTGGAAATTGGAGATATTAACTGTCTGCTTACATAAGACTAAAGAGAACTCTTGAAGCAAGATATTTCACTGGTGTAAGTTCAACCAGGAACTTCATTGAAGCTATTCTGACTTAACGTTGTCTGTGCATTTCAACTAGGAGATTGAGATGACTCTGCTGGCTGGAGGTGAATTTAGACCAGGGTGGCCAACCTGTTACACACACAAAGCCAAAATAGTGGTGGATACAGCACAAAGAGCCGAGGGGAACAGGGGGAAGGGAGTTGTTGAGCGCAAAAAAAAAAAAGCCCCAAAGCCCCGGCCTCCGCATTTGGTCGGGGGGTGGGAGGGAAGCCATGGCCACTGCCCTTTCAAGAACAGAGCAGGCATTGCCCTTTTAAGGTGGCCATTTTGAAGGCAGTCGTTTTGAACTTTTCAGGGGATGCCATGACTCCGACTCTGTCTCCTTCAGAGCCGTGGGTGCAGGACCTGCAAATTTTTCTTTGAAGAGCCACATGAAGCTTGCAAGCCACAGGTTGGCCACCCCTGGTTTAGACAGTATCTTTGTTACTAACAGGTTCTTATCTGCTCCGGATCTACAGCAGCAGTCAACAGAAAAGTGAAATCAGCTGGTGGTTCCAGACCAGTTGGCAAGTGTCCTGTCTCTTACAAAAATAAACTGAAGTGGCACTGAAGTACTTTGGGACAATTGTTTGGTAGCCTCTTCAATGAAAGCCAAGGCATGAGTGACAATTTCTACTCCCATTTTATCAGATGAGCAACTGCACATTGGAAAGATATTCACGTTATTCATGTTGAGTCAGTTGTTTTGCAGTGTTCTGATGCACATTACAAGCTTAATTGCTTGATTGCTTTGAAAAGTTGGCTAAAATGACTAGAATATTTTGTTCTATATTAGCATTCTTATTATTTAAGGTACAATGAACAACTGAAAAATCCAAAATCCCTGTGTCCAAATTATATTACCTTGGTGCTCCATAATATCCACAGCCATACTTATCACAGCCTCTTACGCTGTTCAGAGCGTTCCCATCGCAGATTTGTGCCCATCGTGCAGCAACTTAAGAAATGGGAAGGAAAAGTATATTTTTCTATTTTTGTCCAGAACCTAATGTATGTTAAATATTTTCTGTGCAAATAATTTATTAAAAATAAGAATTTTGAATGTTAGTATCACTTTTCAATACCGACTGTCTTGCACAAAACCGTCGTTCGTTCTTTTCTTTAGCAGAAGCAGAGTGATATATTTGTCAATATTGGAAATAGATTGGACTTCTCTGCTCTGGCACTTTCGGGGCCTAACCGGTCCTGAATGAGGGGATTTGCTGGACCAGGGGAGGCCCTCCCTTCTTATCCCAAGCTGCCCTGCTTCCCCTAGGTTAGGGCTCCAGCCCAGCGCCATTACAACCAGGCTTCAGCCACAGGCCCCCTGCTGTCTGCTTAGCTGGTGCTGTCTCAGGCTAGAGGTTTCTAGCTGCTGCTCACCCCACTGCTGCCAGGGCCAGCGCTCCCTGCCTGCTGCCAGGGCAGCTATTGCTGAGCTGGAGAATTGTCATACAACTATATCTATAAAGGTCAGATGCCTTCATTGAAAATGTATTGACATTAATCGAGGATGTAAGGACCTAATTTTACCTCTGAACCAGAAGGTGCCTTCCTTGAAAATGTAGTGACATTAATCGAGGATGTAAGGACCTAGTTCTACCTCTGAAACAGAAGAATATACAAAGGGGGTTGGGACTATAGATGTTAGCTTCATCCTGCTGCACTTTCAAAGAGTGCTTCACAAACCATATTATGGCTGTTTATGAAAACTGGAGTTGAGAGCAATGACTAGATTTTTATTAATTTCCCAATTAATATCACTGGTGGAAACAGCAAAGCAGCTACTCAAGATTGATTGCTGATGTTCTAATCAACCTGCCATCTGACTTTGCCAAGGGCTGCTCTAGACAACAGTATGATTAAAATACAATGTAGATGCTGTTGCACTGTCTGAAGTAACACTCCCCCTGATTCTACTACAAGTAGGACCTCCCTGATCTGGCACCATCGGGACCTGATTAGTCCCAAAGGAGAGAATTTGCCAGACCAGGAGAAGTTTCCTGCCACCAGCCCCCAAACCCATTGTCTGTTTTGGGCAGGCTGCTTCAGCAGGCTGCACCCTGCCTTGCTCCTTCTCTTCTCCCCCCCCACTTCCCGGCAATCTGGCTTGGCTGCTTTCCCAGCTGCTGCCACTTCCCTGAGCAGCACAGGCTCAGTCTCCTGCTGCAGGGCTCTGGCCAGGACCACATGCTCCTGGTGGCTGCTGCATGGCTCTGGGGGGTCTCCGGCTCTATGCTGCCACAGGGCTCCAACTCTAGCCTTCCCTTTCCATGGGCTGCTACAGTGCCCCGGCCTCCTGCTCTAGAGAACTGCCAGGAGACTCCAGGCCCCAGCCCTGCACTTCTGGGGATTGCCAAGAGACCCTGGCTTCGTGCTGCTGCAGAGCTTTGGCCTCAGCCTTGCGCTCCTGAGGGCTGCCACAGGATTCCAGCTCCAGCCAGGCCCTGGTGGGGCTATGGCCTGATCCTGTCCTGCCACAGCCAGGCTGCCAACTCTGTTGCCCTGGCCTTGCCTTGCCCTCCTTCCCTTAGACTCCTGGGATTTCTGGTCTAGGAGCATCCGTGGTCCTGCCAAACCATGGATGTTGCCAGACTAAAGAGTGGTAGTTTTTGGAGGTACAGCTTGTATTGCTGTTTGTTATGGGTTCACCAGTAAGATCAACTGTAGGAATTTACAGAAAGGCCTTCTGTGGGCTAAACTCGAGAGCATGGGCCTAATTCTGATCTTTCTGGTTATAAATCAATGGCATGAAATCAGAACAGAGTCACTTCTCTAAATCTGAAGATATTTTTCTCCAACAAAGTAGCTGTTACGTTGCAAAAAAGCATTAATAATGTCAAAGCTAAGCTAATAACTTGGCTAGTTGTATATATCAGTGTTCTTAGGTCTCAAACTATTTTACAACTACCTTAGCTTTTCAATTCTTTAAACCACTTCTTGTCAAATCAGTAACGCATATCACTAAAACATTTTTCTCCAAATAAATAAACATACTATTTTTACAATAACTTGTCATAAAATAAATACTTCAGGATAGATTTTCCTACGGGAATATTTAGTTATCAGTAAATTCTGATGCATTTCAACTATATAAAGTGTCTTTTAAAATAAAAGCGTAAAAAAATGCACGACAGAGTACATTTCTTAACTTACCGTTAGAAACCAAACCAGCAAAAACAATCAGTTTGAGTGTGAGCATTTTGTACCTCTTTCATCAGAGTTCTCTATCAAATCCAGGTTAGAATGTACACGCTCTTTGCTATTTGTGTATCCTAAAAAGGCAGTTTGTCTTCCCAGCCAATCAGATTTAGTGGAGCATTGAAACAATGTAAGACCGTATTATCAGATTAGGCAATTAGGATGTTAACAGAAAATGCAACTGTTGAAAGTAAAGTGCAATAGTTACCTACTTGCTGCCCACAATCAGCCAAATGAAACAGCCTAAGAAATTGCATCGTTTTTGATGAGGGGCAGTAATTTTGCGAAGAGAGGTGGGAAAAAGAGGAGCGGAACTTAAGAAATAACTGCCTGAGCCATGAGGGTCCATGAGAAATAAAACAGATGAGCCAAGGCCAATTAATTACTTAAGATATTACATGCATATCCAGTGTCTTTATTGCTTCTATACGTGCTGTTGTCTTTGCTTGAAAATGTGTGTTCATGACAAATATTTCAAATAGGGTCACAAATAATATAGCAGGAAAAATTAATAAAGTGTGGGTTAGTATAAACTTACAGTTAAATGCCATAAAAATTTTGCCGCTTCCCTGCAATTGATAGGGAACCATACCAGTTGTAGTGGTAGCAGCTCCTCATCCCACTCAGCCAGCTGCTCCTGCTCTCTAGTGGTGTAGTGGTTTTTTTTTAATGTAAACTATGTGGAGCAGCTTGTGGTGCATACATGCTGTTATGGGGTAATTACCTTCCCCTTCATATCTCTAGCCATTGTGCATTCTGTACGGTGCAACATGTCCACATGTTACAATGAACACAAGCTTGTCACTCTTAGTGAGAAGTATCACAAGTATATCTGTGCCTGAAAAAGTGATGGATAGAAGTTGTGGACCTTCCTTGGAAAAGGCATTATTGGTCAGAATTCAGGAATGTTTGTGACTTCATACCTACTGTTTTTGGTGTTTATAGGGAACTATGTTGATAGAGATTCCTTCAGATACACTAGTGCTGCGTAAGCCTTTCATTGTGCTGCATACTTTCTCTGTTCATTTTCATGGGATTGGAGCGAGTTGTTACTTGTGTGGTAAGATGCTCAAACCGTTGTTTTTACCTCATTCTGTGGCAGCTGTAATAGTAGCCCCAAATGTGGTGGTAGCTTCTCTGATAAACTGAGATTCTTGGATTCCCTAGTGCCAAGGATGTAAGTGAAAGAGAATTAATATATCGTGCTTTCATACTCTGAGCTTTGTTTAATTATGAGGTAGAGAAAGGTACTGCATTTATTTACAGCACTGTGTCTATTTAGCAGTCACTTGGAGACAATTAATTAGTAGCTGAGGTAAAATTAAGGTAAAATGTATTGTACAGAAGTTCAGTAAATTCTCCATCTGTATGAAACAAAACTGTCACACTGAATGGTCTAGCTTGACTTCATTTGGCAGTGAAATCCAAAATATTATCCACTGTGTTTCATCTGAGACCCACCCAAAGAAAAATGGGGAAGTGAGCTGGGTGCAGATCCTTACAGTATTTACATCTGGAGCTCTCACAGATTTGAGTGGGAGTTGGGTACCTAAATACATTTGAGGATTCAACCCATAGTGCAATGAAGGCAAATATAGTTGCTCAGTTTGCATACCCTTGAATATAAAGAGGCAAATGGAAGGCATGTGGATACAGGCTCTGATCTCTGAATGCTATGTTCAGCTGCTTTACTAATTTAGGACGCTTAAACTCCTTTTTAAGTGTTTTAGGCACTTAGACTGGCAATGAGATTTTGGCTCCTATTGGAGTCTCATGAAAGTGTATAGTGTGAAAGCAGCTACTATCCTTAGTATTTACTTAGTAGGAACCAAATTGAGTGATTTGCGTAGAAGGGTATGAATCCCCTTTGTGCATAGAGCATAATGTAGTTTTTAGTTCTGTACCTGAAAAAAGTGTTGGCTAACCATAGTAGAGCAAGTAACTAGGGTTAGTGTGCAATTGTATATGATCACTAGAACAAGTCTGTGATTTATTCTGTACATTAGGATTTACTAAAATGATAAAAATTGCAGGAAGAGATGACAAAAATAAACTAGATATGTTTAGGTACAAGTCAGGGCTTAATAAGCTTTATCTGAAAAAGCTTATCTGAAGCTTGTATAGTTTTACTGACAATTCCTTGTAGTCTCACTATAAACCAGCAGGCTGTGCTAATTGACAGATTTGGTTGCCTGTCATGGTTGGCAGTTCTATAGCCTAGATCTTCAAAGTGGCTTTCTAGTCATTACGCTGTTAACACACATGGATAAGCAGAAGCCAAGGCCCTATTCTTCTTCTGAATACTGATTTAAAATGGCTTCCTCTGAAAATTTGTTAGCCTTTTTAGATGATACTTTCAGGGACTGAACTCTGCTTGTGTAGCGTGGGGGTGGAAGATGAAATAGACGTTCCAGCACCACTCTTTCAACAGAGGACAGTTCAGCATTCTGGAAACAATTTTAAACACAGAGGAATATGGGGTACAAACAGGTGGCTTTGAGATGGCAGTGCCAAAGATTTTTAACTGTGTCCTCCGTGCTCCCATAGAGATTCAAAAGCCCCTAACCCATTTTCTGGCTTGCCTCAGCAGTTTGCTGGATACTTAGATGAAAATACAGGTTGCTTCTCAAAAACTTGAAGTTCGACACACAATATGCAAATAAAGGAGTGATGGGGAGGAAAGAGCCCTGCAAAAGTATGCCATTGAACAGCAATGTTAAACACAACTGCTGGAGCTTAAGGTAGTACCTGTACCTG